TTTTTCTAAAAGTAATGGCTATCAAAGAGTAAAGAGGTTTGTCAGACACTTGTATAAAGTGACAACTTTTCAGAAAATGTCCTCTAGGCATACAATTGCACTGCTTTCACCCTTGGTGTTTTTTGGCCAGAGGTACTAGTATTGTGGAGGAACATCTAACCACAGAACTGAACTGAAACTTAGGTGTGCAACTTCTGTGGAATCTTCATCTGAAAATTAAACTGAAATAAAGGCAGCTGAAAGCAAGCTTTTCACTTCCTCCCCTGAGCTCAGCTTTCCAGCTTAGCTGTTGATGGTGCTGTGCCCACCACCAGGCTTCATTGTCTGCTTGCCTGGATGCATAGACAGAGGTTTTGGCCCTTGGAGCAGCCCCTCTGGAGTCAGCATCAATTATGCAAGACCTCCCCTTCCCTTTCCTTATCAAAATAAACCTATAAATACTTCTCTACCTCACTGGCATGTTATGAGAGTTAATGAGTTGATGTCTGCAAAAGACTTTCAAAATATGAAATGGTGTGGAAGTTCTGAGCACTATGTTGTGAAGGTCTCCCTTTCCCCATCTTAAGGCAGAATGAGTTAAAGTTAGCCAAAGGGAATAAGAGAAACAAGAGAGACTTTATGAGTCTACCAGGGGAAAAGGAAATACTGGAGAGAAAATAGACCCATTAGCAAATGAGGAAGGAGATGAAGTTAATTATGATTTTAAAATGGATGAGCATCACAGCTGCTTTTTTTTAAAGAAAAAAAATCAGTCCTGAACAAAAATAATAAGAACTGACAATTAGGAAGAAGCGGAGGCCCTGTGAAAACAGGGGTTTGATTAAAAAGTGAGGGGGAAAAAACTTGTAAAACATGAAAATGTGTAAATGAGCAAGTCTAGATGAAATTCATCTAAAGAACAATGAGAAGCTAATGGATTTTTCCAAATATTTACCCATGGCAGATGAGGAAAAAGTCATATCAGGAAAAAAAAAAAACAACAACAGCCTCAAAAAAAGCTAATGATATTTGGAAAAAGGATTCCAGTGATTACCTGCCAGTAAGTATTCATCTGTACTCAAAACAAGAAGCACAACTAGAGTGAACAGGCAAGCAACATGTCTGTTGGGTTATGAAGCCAAGCATCACATTTTTTTGGTTATGAAGCCATACTACACAAATGAGGTATCATTACAGAGTTTCAAAATATACCAATGAGAAACACAATACCTGCTGGGTCAGATCCAGAATTGCTGATTTGCCTCTTTACACCAGCAGATCTATTTGCAACATCTGAACTTGAGTAAATAATTTGACAGAGTTACCTTGCAAACTTGTGTTTGAGAAAATAAATCCAAATTGGCTTTGATAGGAAGGGTGTCATTTGGGCTGAGAATGGCAGTATGAGGCCACATAGAAAGTGATCTGAAGACAAAAATTAAAGTAGAGTCTGGTTGTAAATATGTTATGATTATTTCAGCATAAAGAATGATTAAGACATAATTATAAAAAGAAAAACAAGTTACGGTGTGAGCAGCAGAACTAGGACATCCTGGTTCCTGATGTATTTAGGTACGGTGGCTACGTGGCTGATAAGTTTCCTCTGTGACAGCCCCTCTGAGGCAGGGGTGGGCTGGCACTTCAATGGGGGCATTGATAGGGTTGCACTTCATGATATCTGTGATAGTCCTGTGTGTTTGAGCCTTACACAACCTCCAAATGCAACTGGGGTCAAAAGGCAAACCTCTCCAGAAGTTCTGAGGGAACTCAGAGACAGTGATCTCGTTTGCCACAACCATTTACTGGGAACTCAGATTTTGAAATCTTGAGAGGGCAAATTCTGACTGAAAACTGGAATGTCACAAATTAACAAAATGCTCTGAATTTTTAGACCCTGCCCTTCTCCTTTCTCCTGTTTCTACAACACTGTATCTATATCTATATCCTATGGATATAGAACATAGAGACAATAGCTGTAATGATCTTATTTTCATACCTACTTCTCAGCTATTACTTTAGAAGCTTTCCATCCTCCCTGCCAAAAGGAAAAAAAGGAAAAAGCATTTTTCCAAGGTGCTATTTGTTCCCATTTTAGTGTGAATGGTTAAGAAAATAAGGAGTTTCTATACTGATTATTTTTGAGATATATTATTCTTTAAAGCCAATCTCTGACTGTTGAACATGTACAACCAGCGATGATCAATAAAATTGCTTCTTGCAGAGAATGCTGCTTACAGAACTTCAGACAGGTTAAATTTGCCTGTTCTAGGGAGGGGATCAAAGCTCACTTACTGTTTATGATATTCAACCTTCTGCTAGGTCTACAGAACCTCCTGAATATCATGTCTGCGTCTCTGTTGCTGCACTGGGAACTGAAATGAGGACAAGGGCACTACTTCTTTTGTGTTATTAAAAAGCATCACTGCATTGCATGGTGCATCCAATAGATTTTTATATTAGAACAGAAGAATGAACTCTTTTTAAGAATAATATTATGGTGATTCCTTTTCATGTCCAGTTACTATTTTCTACTTGTGAATAGCAGATTTTTTAAAAGCTTCTAGCCTTGTTATATTTCAAATTTAATAAAAAAAATGTGTCCTACATGGTTTCACACCAGTAGAGAGGTCACAACACACACGGACTGAGAAGAAATCCCCCTAAACAGTAGGAAATGTGTAACACCTCAAATATGGTTTTGAGAAAAGTGACTTAGCAGTTTTCATAGCTGTAAAGCTGGCTCACAGATACATGGAAATCTATGCAGAAATATACTTCCCTGTCTACCATCAGGATTACAGAGCCCAAAAGGGAAAGTGCAAAAGACATGGTATTAAACCAGAGCCAGCATATGTTCTGTAAGAGCAGCAAGGCTCAGAGAGCCCAGCTACCATTTGTAACCAATTTTCTTCCCGTGGCTCTAACACAAAGTTACATTTGGAGTGGCAGTTTTATAGTGGGGAGGACTAGGGTGCCTAGAAACTCTTTCTCCTCCTCTTCTTCTACCACCTTCTCGTCCTCCTCTCCTTCAGGTCACATATCCGGGGAGCACCCATGGCCCTCATCTGCTGTTGGATAATGGTGAGCATGAGGATGTGGATTGATACATCCTATTCCTTCTGTGTTCCTTAAGGTCCTGGTTTCTCCTTTCTCATGCTTTCCCTTGCAGATTTGCTTATTTCTTAATAGTGAACATAGTATATTGTGCATTTGCTTGAAGCCTAAAAAAGCAAGACAGATTTTATCATTTGGGCTGTAGATATTCAATGCCCATTATGGGCCGACTAAATTTAGTAGAGTGGCAATTCACCAGACTACTAAATTTAGTTAGGACATCCGGTCATATCATTTTACTTAGCTTAATATTGGATATCATAAGATAGGGCCTATCAAACAGTATGGCTCCAGCTTCCCCAGCTGCAGATTATATTATCACTGTAGCTTTTCAAAAAATTCATGCTAAGTTTTTTAAAGTCTTAACATTTTTTAGTTTGTATATTTTGTTACAGGTTTATAAATACGGGAAAAATTAATTTAGTTTTCATCGTAAAGATCACTGTTTAAAAAAAGATGCTGCTGTTTTCATTTTAAGCAAAACATTTGTCTTTCCTTGTTTAATTTCAGTAGGAATAGGAACAAGGTGGAGTCCCATTTGGAGATAAATTTTGCACAATGATTTTCATTGCCTTCATGCATTTCTAGTTGCTATTAAATTTTTGGTTTGTTCCATATAAGAAAGAAGAAAACTTTCTGAGAATCCCGACAACCTGGCCTGTGACAGCAAAGAGTACTCAGTGCTGAAAATTCAAACTTGTCTTGTGTAGAGTAAATGGGAATGAGATCTTGGTAGATCCCATGCACAACAGATGGAGTTATGGCAATGGGATCAAATATGACTAACAGAATGGCACTGACAAGCTCATCAGTCTTGCTATAACTCTTATGTGTTATAGGGCAAGAAAATTGCAGTAGCAATATTTTGGGAGTCTGTGCACTTAATATATGGAAAGAAAATTGCAGTTGCAATATTCTAGGAGTGTGTGGACTTAATCTTTTGTGGGAGGCCTTGAAAGGGAGCCAGTGTCTCTGCATCCCGAGTCAGTCATTTCCTATCCAAGTAAACTGGACTGAGATTCTAGTCTTCGTTTCTAATGAGCTTTCACAGTAAAACAGGAAATAATAATCTTGAAAGGGGGAAAAATGGTCAAAAATCACTCAGAGAACATTTAAAGGTTTGTTCTGAACAAGCAGGGCTAAGAAAAAGGCCTGAGAAAAGTGTGTCCTGGGATCACTCACAGTTAAAGCACTGATTAATTAAGCAGAGGGTCATTCTTCAGAAAGACTCAAGGGCAGTTTTGGCCCCGCGGCTGTAATTTGGACACTTCTGGAGTTCTAGATACACTGAGCTATTCTGTGCAGGGCCTGTGAATATGTGCATTCTTCTGGCTGAACAATGGCATCTTTATTCAAATAGGAGCCACTAAGTAAGTGGCTGTCTCCTAATATGGGTGGTATTTCTTCCTGCTCTGCCTCAATCTCTGCTGCTTTCCCGTGGCCTTATCAGTGCTTTGTAGCACAACTTACAAAATGAAATCTATTCATAATGTTAAAACCCTCCCCCTTTTATAGACACAGGAAAAAAAAACCCAAATGCTTACATATCCTCCAATTCTATGGCAGGGTGTTTACTTTTTTAAATGCAATTCTGCTTATCTGACGCTGGTTTGGAAATTAATAAAATGGTGCCTGGCTTTTATTGTTTTGACTATGGGAAGGAAATTAATCCACAACTATTACAAGTGTTTGATCCAAATAAGCAGAGATAAAACTACAGTTTCAAGAAACGCCGTTCCCTGTTTGTTAGGTTTCCTAGTGCTCCTGACATGTCTGATTTATTCCTGCCTTGTTTAGCAGCAACACTGTCCAGGTAGTTGATGCCCATTCATCTTGCTTTGTGTAGGTATTTCTTCAGGCTGGCTTTATTTATTATGCCTTAACTACTGTTCCTTCTTACTCACTAGGTTTGGCTCTGCCAGCGGTTAGAAAAGATGTTGTTTGTCTAAAGAGACAAGGGTGTGGTGAAAATACTCTGTGCCAGCCAAGTGAACCAAAACACTATCTGAATTACTACGGTGGCTGGAAAAATAAATTTAACTGACAGAAGATCTGGACCCTACCTGTGCTGAGAGATAGAGAGAAAAACAATCACAGAAAAAAAAGAATTGCCATGTAGAGTTGGAGGTAGGTCTGGAGAGGGGGATTGTGTCCCTCAAATCCTCTCAGCAGTTCACAGCAGAGGAGGATTTATAGCATTATTGCTTAGGGAAAGCAAATGTCAGTGTTTATGCAATATGAGTTGGTATTGTTAATAGTTAATTTGGTGACAGCAGGCTTGCTGTGAAACTGTACTGCAAAAATCTGTGACTTCCCTTATCAGGGGAACTGGGCTGTGGAACCACTCACAGACCAGACCTGTCCCAAAACTCACTGAAACGGACAACATCTGCTGGAGTCACAGGGACTAGAGTGGTGGGGCAGGAATGTTACTAGTTTCTAGCAAAAAGCAGAGGCTAGGCTTCTTTAGCTTCACGTGTCTCCAGAAATTGTACTTCCTGAAATACTTCTGTACATGCTGTACATTCTGTATAACCACCAAAAGTTACTGTACAGAGTTCTGGTTTGGTATTTCATTCAAATTGCAATGTAATATAAAATTATTAATTGCAATATAATATAAAATACACCATCTCTGGAGTGGAGTAAGAGCCCACCTGTGTGAGTGGGCAGCTGCTATTCCTCTTCCCGGAGGTTCTTGCTCCACTCCACCATCCCACGAGCACTAGGCAGAACAGCAGCCACACTGGTGGTGCCAGGGCAGCCTGGCAGCTGTGGCCCTTGGTAGAGGCATGACTCCTCACAAACCACATGGCTACCATCTAAAGCTCCACCAAAACACCTGGCAGTCTTTGGGCTGGGGACAAAATGGGAGGGAAAATGACTGCCACCATTCCTATGCTAAGCAGTGCGTACTGTGAGAGAGGACACTGGGTGGGTGTGTCTCCCCATGCCTGTGTGGGGAAGGACGCCATGAGCAGAGAGGACTCCAGCGGACAGAAGTTTTGCATTAGCCATAAGCCAGAGGCATTAACTCATATTTAAACAGTACCAGGCTCTGGGGAAGTTCAGATGCAGACCTGAAATACATGGCTTGGCAAAAGACTTTTGTTACTGTCTCATGTCTGACCTCTGAAAAATAATATTAATTCAAAAGTTAAAAGTGTTCAGCTGACAGTAATAGAGTATTTGTGTTAAGGATGATATTTTTCAAAGGTATAAAATCAACTTAGTGATGTGTTACAATTGATTCCTTGACGTCCTACAGAAGCCTTAGTGAAGCAGATCTGGGGGACTTACAGCTGCCATGAGGCACTCATTGCACTGAGGGGTGTGGCTGTGGGCTCCCACTAAAAGGGTTGCATTTCCATAGGTAGTTCTGAAGATTCATGATCTTTCTGGACACTTTAAATACAATTATTCAGGATATTATTTCTTCTTGCTTAGTTTCCAAGCAGGCAGTTAGACTGAGCAACCACAAACATATATCTTGTAACCAGCTTTGATGTGAGAGCAGCATTACCATAATTCTGGAGAGATCTCTTTCTTTTCTGAACTATACTGGCAGCCCATGACACCAGAATGTCAAAATGACCTCCACTCTGTATTACACAGTGTATAAAAATTTCTGCTTACATTTTGTCTCCTTCGCCCTTTTCAATTTTGTTTTATTTTCTTATAGTTCTGTAACTTAAGCTGTACATATTTGGAGATGTTTTTTTTCCTTTCCTCATCTAGCTTTATGGCTTGTTCTGGCTGAGATGTCCTTACATGATTTGATGTTACAAGAAATATATACACATGTAATTGTTCCACAGTGAACCAATCTTTCTGCAGCACAGGGGGAAGATACATATTAAAATTTTCTTTCATTCTCTTTACAGAATGTATTTCTGGCTCTACAAATGATGCAAAATATTTGGAACTGAAACAATAAGGCTTGAGCTAGTTAGCAGGGAGTATAAATGTATGGTGGAGCCAAATATTCCTGAGAGTAATATTTTCATCAGAGACAGCATGTACTGTAACCAGGGAGATAAGCATGAGTAGGCAAAACTATGGCTATGCTTAGAGCCAACATGCCACAGCAGCTACGAATCACACACTGCTGAGTGACACCTGAAAAACTGAAGCCTGATTCTTCCATCAGGAAGAGCCCTTCCTGCTCTAAGTAGGGTGTGAGGCAGGAGCAGGTCATAGGGGCTGCCAAAGTGTGCCAAAATGCATCTGTGCCAACAGCACAGAGCAGCTGTGACAATAGTTAGGAGGGGAGGCCAGGCTGTGCTCAGCCTCTGGAGCCCTGCCACTTGGTCCTTGTGCTGGTGGCAAGTGGCCCTCTGATAATGGAGTGTTTAAGGAAGTGTCACAGAGCCAAGTGGAGAGAGAGCAGGGAATCATCATGGAGGAGCTCAGTAGCCTTTTCCATGCAAAGAAATGCGAGAGGACTTTGGTGTTTCTGAGCAGGAGAGAAGCGATGAAAACAGCCAAGAATTGTTGCTGAGGTGGAGTAGCAAAGCTTGTTTAACACGGCGCATTGCAGTGGTATCAGCAGTGTGGAGTCAGTGCTCCAAGTGCTGCATAGTAGGACTTATTTAAAGCAGCTATTGTAAAAGTCTTCGAGCCAGTTAATTGCCAGTTTTTGTTATGTCAGGAACTCCTTGAGTTAAAGCAGAATGAAACTATTCATGAATATGTTCCAGTTCTGTAGCTTAATGGGACAAATTAAAAAAAAAAAAAAAAAAAAAAAGAAAGAGAGAATGAAACTGATAAAATGATTTAGTTCATGGAAAGACTGAAAAGCCTTACAAAAAAAGCTGAAATTACATATTGTGCCCCATCTACTCTTGCATAAGCCATTGAAATTGCTGGAGACTTAGCTGGACTAATCGTCCATTGCAGTTATGCATGAGCTTTAGGGAGTGCACAGGGTGCATATAGGTCAAAGCACCAGCCTATGAAAGAGAGGGAAATTATCCAACAGCATTTCTAAAAATGTAGATGTCCAGGTATGAAAAGCCAAGAGGCTTGGCTTGCATTTAAAAAGTATTAAGAGCAAGTGAGGAATTTAATTTAATTTATTCACCAAATGGACTCGAAGAGGTGTGAAAAAAGGACTGAAGTTGGCCAGGTTGGGTGGGTCTTTGAGCAACCAGCTCTTATGGAAGGTGTCCCTGCCCCTTGCAGAGGGGTTTGGACTAAATAATATTTAAAGTCCCTTCCAACCCAATTCATTCTATAAATTGATGCTAGGCAAGAGAAAACTTTCAATGGAAAACAAAAATCTACAGAGGACATTAATGTAGACTCATTCCCTTCCTGCTTACATGAGTTTTTCCCTCTGCACATCCTTGTTTGCTGTGAAGTTAAAGATGGACCATGGTTATTGAAAGCAGATTTGGGCCTAGAAGTTCCATCTGATCAGAAAAAAAGTAATAATGCATGCTGCATATTGAACTGATCTGCAGACATTGGAGTAAATGCCTCTTTAGAGCCTGTCTCATACTATCAGTATTCTTCAAACATCTACTTTGCTCCTTCAGAATACTGTGAAAATCACCAACACATCTACTGAATTGAGTTTTAAAAACAACTCAGAAACAGAAACAAATCACAGTGTTTGGCTCTGCTGGCTAGAAGAATACTGTTGCCGAGAGGGTTCTTCCTGCATGTGTCTGAGCACCTCCAAAATGGCCTGTCATATACATATGTGTCCTGGTTTCTTCTGTTGCAAAGAGAGTTTTTAGGAATTTAGCCTACTTCTTGAGAAAAGAAATTAGTCCAGCTTACCAGAACACCCATGTTCCTAATTCTTACCATTCCACAACTGAGACCCCCCACAAGCTGCTCATATATTATGAAGCATCTTGGAGGAAGCTTTTATGATTTTGTGCCCATAAATGCAATAATCTCTCAGGATATGGAGAAAGTGCAGAGGATATTTAACACAGTTTGTTAGCTATTTTTTCTTGGTATTACTCGTATCTTTTCATCCATGGTAAACTTATCTTTGCTTGGCTTTTTAGAAATCCCCAAGTCCTACGCCAAACACTTTAGGTAATGATACTACTGTAATGTAGGGCTGACCACACTGTAGAGGTTATCAGGCTTTCAGTGGTGCTCTCTTCTCCTCTCTTCTCAGGGCTGATTTCCCATTTGGCATGCTGCTCCTCACTTCTCCCTGCTCCTGCTCCCCTCCCCTGCCCAAGGGCTTTGTTCTGGGTATAAGAGCCCCTCTGATGCATGCTGAACTTACAGGGTTCAAGACATGAGGCTTTTGCTTTGTTGTTCTTTAAAGTGCTAATCTGGTTTTATTAATATATTTTCAATGTTTGGGATTAGCAGAGCTTGTAAGAACACATCAGACCTGCCAGGTTTACAAGCCCACTCACCACCTTCACCCCCTTACATATATTTTAATATAGCTAATTAGGAGATAATGCCAGTGGAACGAAACACTGTCATAAGATAATGATCTCACACCACTATAGAAATGGTAAGTGGAAATGTTTATTTTCAAAGGAAAGAAACACTGATCATGTGCTTAATCTTGTATTTTTAAACAAGTAAAATTCCTGTAGATTTCAGTAGAGCCTGAGGTGACAACATCCTATTACTGTGGTAGTGTTTCTGGATACCAAATGGCCGTAAGTGATGTAGTCATTTTCTCCAAATGATACTGGTGCAGTATTGGAACAGATGTTTCCCTTACCTTTATTAGCCTGTCGTATATTCTAACTTGGAAGACAAATTCTGCATGTGCTTCATTGCACCAGCTTAGACAGTTTTTTTAAAGATGTGCTTTAGGAAGCAGTGAGCTGTGGTTTGGGTGAAGTTATGCATATTTTTAACTTACTGACAGTTCACAGTACTGATACACAAGCCTCAGTTGCTACTGCAGGCTCCCTTTAGGTACACTAAGGATCCTCTCTGTTTAAGTCCAAGTTGGCCCTCCCTCTTCATGGAACTTTGGAAACAAGGGTTGTCTTAAGGCGGTTTACTCCTGAAAGGTGAACTTATCTTTGTAGTGGGGTGAGGGAGTACTCACAGGTAACAGGTACAAGTGCATTAGCCCTTCT